TCAAAACCTTTTTATTTGTTTCTTCCAATGAATATGCTTTGGTCTCAATGGAAGTGCTGTCGGAATCTTTGCAATGTACTGAGTTTCTAGATCCTGTTGAAGTTCCAATATATGCATTTTCATATTTGGATTGGTCCCTTATGTTAAATGTCTTAACTGCTTGTCCAAAGTATGCAGAAGTATCACTTGCTGAGCGCCGGTGACCTTTAAGTACTGGTGATTCTGACTCGTTCAGGAGATCATCGAGCCAAGAAGGTTGATCCTCCATGAGAAAGCTTTCAGACGAACATCGTTGGTGAAAACTTTCTGAACACGCTGAAGGATTTCCTTGTGATTCTACTGGAGAAAAATTGAAGTAGGATGTGGATGAATGGTGGAAGACTAAAGGCGAACTCGGATCCTGCCTGCCGCTGCTTGATCCATTCATGCTTTCCATTCCCTCTAACAAGCCAGACTGCCTAGAATTGAAGAATGCTTTTTATTTATAGTGAGCAAATTGATAAGAAATTAAATCTAATAATTCTTGAGCTTGTCATGTGGCAATTTTATGCGCTTGCTTCGCCCCCATTTTTAAGCACACATTTCTTAATAAAATAATTATACATATAAACCAAAAAAATTTGCTACTTTTTAATCACACATTCTCCAAAAATTAAAAAATTCATTTTCGCAAAATGGGGCAATGTTTCACTTTTCACATGCGAGTAATCTATACATAACAGCGGCTATGTTTCGGGAACCATATATAATATATTCAGAGCAATTACATTTATCATCATGTTGTTTCCTGTAAACTCCTATAATATCTTGAAGCAGAGAAATATTTTGTACACAGTTACACAGAATTCGACTGGGACAAGGGAATTTAGATTAATTGAATTTTGAGAATTGAGGTTCCATCCTAAAACGTTAATTCATTAGATGGAGTAGTCCATCATTTATCTCATATTAAACCGATGTGTGACTTTCTTCGCACTCTTCCAAACAATCTCCTTGAACCAGGCACTATGTTATCCAGGCCCCTTCCAAACCTGGAAGGATTACATGCTCGATCTGTAAAGTCTGCAACTGTGGATCCCTGGATTTTTCCACCAATCACGTTCCAACTTAGGGCCCACCATCTTTGTTCAGCTGCAACTGAGGAACCAAAGAGATTTGTGGACAATCGAGATTGCATTTATGTTATACAAGATTATAAAATCAAGTCTAAATGATTGTATAGGCATCCATGCAAGCACTGGGAGAGAAAAAGAGAGAGATTACCAATGTAGGTGGCAGAGATGGGCGGTCAGGATGAGGGAGTGCAAAGCATGGGCAAATCCCCTACCGTCCACAACCAGACTGGATTTTGGGGTGAAGAAACTACTACATATGGGAATGGAATGCTGTTTCAACTAAAAAGGAGAAAAAAAGTGAGGAAAGGAACGCAATTTACGTAACCAAATTAAAAGGATCCATATGTTTTCTATACCTCGGCCCGCGCGCGCGCACACACATATATATATATATATTTTCACAGCTCCTCCAATGCTATCGG